GAGAGAGACACAGCACACCCAACAAGGTCCCAATGTTGCAATCACCCCCAGTCTTCAACCAGCCCCAAATCATAGGCAAGCACATGCCTGGCATAGTCGGTGAGGTCTCCAGACTTGAATCGAGAATGTCCCCTTGTTGGATTGCCTCACAGAGCAGCACATTTTACCAGTGTGCCACTGCCTAGCCCCCTTCTCTAAACTTTTTAAGGATCCCTCCTATGTATTTTTAGTTCTTTACAAAATCATGAGCATCGTGACACTCATGCTCCACTAATTTCAGGAACCATGGGCTGTAAATACAGAAATAAACTTCCCTTGCTAGGCTGAGCATGGACGCAGGTGCGCAGAAGGAACTCATGAAGTGTTATTGAATATACGAAGAAGAGGTTCAAATTTTCCACTTTTAAACACACCATCATTTAATAAATGCATGCTCAGGCAGGAAGGTACTTTAAATGACTGGCCCACTTGTGTTCACTTGGGCTTAAATTCACCTCCTATTCTCCAGCCTCATTCTTGTCCTAGCAGAACTAGCCAGCCCAGGTAAGTCCACATCTACACCTGAACACAGAACAGGGGAAGGTGAGCCACTGATGGTGAGAGGCCCTTGGGGTCCCAACAGTGCCCACACTCTGGTGCTCTTTGCTGCTGTCTCCTCGAACTCCACATCCTCTTGGTCTACTGAGGTCAAGTCTTATAGAGTTGGGCATCTCCCATTTAACCATAGAGCTGTCTGTCCTCCCAGTGCTGTTGTTTATTTCTCCAGGGCTTAATTGCTCCTTATCTTATTCTTTGTTGCTTGAGCTCCATCCTCTCAGAACAAAATGAAAAGTAAATAACCAGACTAATTAAATAAGCTATCTTATTTCATACATGATCTAAGTCAATAAGTTCTGGCCCCAGACCCAGTAGTGACTATGTGGTTCACCTTCCAGTACTGTATAGATTTGTAAGAGCCTTCTTCTTCAAGTCATAGTTTATTATGTTCTACTAAAATAACAAAAAGCATTCAAGATGAACAGTTAAAGCTTCTAGACCCGTAAATTTTCCTTTATTCATAAATCGTCTCCATCTCTTCTACCCACGACTTACCTGTTATCCTCCTAAACCTTTGAGAAAACTATTAGGTCAACAGAAAAGTCATGATGTATCTTTCTATATTTTTCTGTGCAAAAATGCATCATGATTTTCCCAACAACCCAGTAGTTCAAACCCTTAAATCTACCAAGTTTTTATAATTTTGAAGATTTTCACAAGGACCATACCAGGTTCATTGTTTTCTTTTTTTTTTAAGAGAATTTTTGCTATAGAGCACATGCACTCACCAGAGAGACAGAGAGACTGAAAGTGAGAAATCACCCCCCACAGGGGATGGCCATACCACAATCACTCTTTTCTATTCTTCTCTCAGAATTTCAGGCATGCAGGCACATGCGCCCAGCATGAGTTTTAAGCCACTGAATCCAGGATTCAAACCACAGTCGACTATGTGGAAGTCCAGTGACGTAACTGCTATGCCATCTACTGGTCCCAACCATACCAAGTTCTAATTTGTTATGAATCATGGTGAATGAGGATGGGGAAATGGGAAGGGGAAACTATTTTAATTCATAGATCTATGGCTCATTTTGGCAATTAATAATAACAAAAGACTATCAAAGTATGTTTTTGTAAGCATTGAAACTGTGTGAATATTTTGTTTAGCCAAATTTGAGATCAGACATGGTTAATAGTAGCTCCTATTTAATTATACTGCCTAGGAGCAAAAACTTTATCCTATTTTCACTTTTTTTCTAGTAAACTTTATTCAACAATCTTCCTTTTTGAGGTCAGAGAGTAATGTAAGGGCCTTTGAGATTCTTTCATCACATCTGAAATTTTCTGAAGCTGGTTCCTTCAGCATCGATCACAAGTTTGACAGTATAATTATATAGCAGTTATTTGTTCTCTTTACTAATATCTTTAATTAAAAAAAAAAACTGCTTGCAAATAGAGAGGGAACCAATTGGAAAGCCAAGGCAATAATTCTTCATCCCAAATACCATTTTCACTTTGTGATCATAAGACGGTCCTTTGGTGGTTCTTCAGTCCCAACTATTCCCAGTGTCTGGTGAGGGTTTGCTGTTGTGATCATAGATGCCATATAGCTGTGTGTTTGCATGGTGGAAGGGGCAAAGCATCTCTCTAGTGTCTCTTTCAGAAGAGCACTGATTCCATTTATGATGGCTCCACCCCAGTGACCTAATCACCTCCTAAAATCTCTGCCTCGATACTGAGAAATAGGAGTCAACATATGAACTTGGGGAAAACACACCAGACCATCATGCAGGGAAATGAGTTAGGAGCCTGGGACAGTAATCTGGAAGAAAGATGATGGTGGTTTGACTTAGGGTGGGAGCAGCAGAAATTGAAGCCTTTGAATTCAGATATAGATTAGAGGTACAGTCAACAGGATTTACTTTTAGATTGGAATCTGCTTCTGATGAAAGAGGGAGAAACAAGACTGAGTCTTAGTTTTGGGGACTAATTGAATAGATTGGAAAGAATCATGGAGGAGGCAAGTTAGGCGCATGGGAGAAACGGGTGGTTCTGTTTCAGCCATGTTGATTTTGAGAGGCCCATTAGACTTCCAGGCCAAGATTAAATAGGTGGTGGGATGAGTCTGGAGCTCAGCAGAGAAGCTGAGCTGCAGATGGATTAGATTACCTGCAAGAAAGTATAGATAAAGAAGAAAGGACAGCTGACACCAAACTATGCAAATATGCCAGCGTTAGTGACAAGGCAGAGGAGGAGTCAGCAAAAAAGACAAAAATGTTGAGGCCTGTGAGACAGCAAGAAAGTAGAGCAAGGTCACTGTGGCTGTTTTGTCTCAGAAAATTCAGGAAGAAACTGTTTCAAGAGGCGAGGCTGGAATTAATCTTGTCAAGTGCTGCTAAAGGCGGAGAAAATGAGAAGAGAAACCCACTGGAGTGTGGGAGGAAAGGTGCAGGGAGAGTAAATTAAAGGAATAGATGGTAGGGCCGGCAGATGACATAGTGGTTACATCATTGGACTCCCACTTACCCGACTGTAGTTCGGGTCCTAGAAATGGCTTGAAAATCACACTGGATGTGTGTGCGTACATGCCTGAGACCCCAGGAAGAGAATAGAGGAGAAGGGATTTTGGTGTGGTCATCCCTCCTGTGGGGGAGGGGTGACATTTCACTTTCTCTCTCTCCTTCTTTCTCTCTCTCTCTCTCTCTCTCTGGTGAGTACCCAGATCCTATGACAAAAACCTCTAAATTTTTTTTAATAAGAATAAAGGAATATATGGTAAGTAATCTAGATCCTGAAGGGACAAGGTAATATTTGGGTCCTAAGGTCATTGCTGAGGAATTTCACTAGGAGGCATCAATAACCTTTTTTTGTGGGTTAGTGTTATGAGAAAAGCTAGGAGCAAACTCAGGTTAAAGAAGCCAAAGAACAGGTTGTGTAATCAATAGCCAGAGCAAACCCTGGGAATGAGTTCCTAGAATTTGCTGGATAGGAGTAGCATGGGATGTCTCAGGTCCAGGGCAGCCTACAATGCCCCTGTGGCTTCTGGCCTATTGAGTTACTTTATCTGGTTGACTAAGCATCTGACCCTTCTGTCATGAGTCTTTCATGTGTCTTCCATGGGCTAGACCCATGCCCATGATACACTATCAAAGAGGATGACATTTCCAACTAGAGGACCATACTTTGAGCAAGAGAGTAGCAGTAGAAAAGGAAATAAGGATTAATCCATGACACTGGGAGTGGGGGGGGTGCACAAAGTGGACACACAGCAGGTTCCTTTTTAAGGCTCTGGGGAGACTTAAGGCCCCACTTAAGTAGGACCAGAAGGAAGCATATCTGGCACTGTCACAGTAAGAGTCCTCTGTTGCCAAGGGAATTGGCAAGAGGAGATTCAATAATATCAAACATCATTAGACTACAAATCCTGGTATTAAAAAACAGCTTCAGCTTTGAGTTCAAAAAGGTAGCTCTGGGTAAAATTGCAGAAAATTTGAATGTTAGTCTAAGGATCTTAGTTGTATTTACTAAAAATGAGATCCCAGGAAGGTTTGTAATTGCAAAAGTGCTGTGATAGTCAGAATGGTAAAACTCTAAAAGGACTCCAGTCTAGCTTTCAGCTGAAGATGCCTGGTAAGACAACAAAGTCCTATAATGAAAAAGATGCACTGGGCATTTCAGAACAATAAGAGATAGCTTGTCTTTTCTTTTTCTTTTGTTCTCCTTGGTATTCTGGTGAATTAGGACACTTCGCTCATCTTACCCAACTAAATAACCCAATTTCAAAGGTTGAAAAAAAAGGAAACACACTCACTTTTTTTCCAGAAAACTTTAAGTTTTTCTCTCCAGTCCATTTTTTTATTCTGCCTATATTCTCTAGGATTATATAAGCTTGGAGAAATGATAATCATTCACTTTCTGCAAAATGGAATGACCTAAATTAGAACACTTAAAATCCCTGGTCACACCCTAATGCCATCTATATGAACTCATAAAAAAATTTAAAAAAAGATTATTCACATCTGATTACAGTTTCTAGAGCCTGAAGGAGACTTTAAGGATATTACTTCTTCATCCTTTCAAGCCAGAGCTTGATTTTAGCTGGCTGGAAACTCGATGTTTTGTTCACCTGACTGGGCCAGGGTTCAGCCAGTTGGGGTTGAGTTGCTACACTCAAGGGAGCATGATCCTTTGCACAGACTCATACAGGAGAGAACTCTGTAGAAATTCACCCAAAACAGATTTTCCAACTTGCTTAATTTGTCCCTCCCTTGAGCCATCATTGCTATAGTTTTTCAGATTAGAGAACACATTTATCTCTTTTTTGCTCATTCATGAAATACCACTCTAAAATTCCCCACAATGTTATTATGCACTTGAGACACAACAAAAGGTTAAATTTTGATCTGAAGCTAATGTATGATGAGATCACAGAAACTAATCATGAATGTTATTGTCATGTTTAGGGAATCATCAGATCACCTCAGAAAGGAGAGAGAGATGTCTATGATGGCCCACCAGTACCCTTCTTGGATCTTCATCAATGAGAGGAAATTCATAACCAGGTAACCACATGCCTAAATTATATGCTATCCTATGCACAAAACATTTTTGGAATATACCATTCAACATTTTCTAAGAATGATGTGTGATCAATCTGATCAATAATATGACTCGTCAGTTAAGACATTGGATAGAAGTTGAAAAAGTACGTCCCTAAAGACTGTTAAACCTCCTGTGGAACAGTTACTCATATCTCATTAACTATGGTTTAAATTTATTAAAAGCTGTATTTCTGTTTTAATAGTTGAGACAGTTCTGAACAGCACCAATAAGTGAAAGATTGAAGGCTCCTCATAAATGATGCATGCAAAGAATTAGCCCAGAGGCCAATAACAGCATGTCCTGTCCTTACCTCTTCATTTCCTGCTCCTCACGACACACTTTATTTTTACTGGCTTCCTCTTGAAATCAGGTTATGCAATATATGGCCAACATCCACAACTGTTTGCTTATACCCAGCAAATAGCATCTTATGTTGCTTTGAGAATAATAAGATAAGGATTTAAAAATTATAAGACTAAAGATGAGAATTGAACTTGGCTAAACTAGAGCAGAAACTGAGCAAGGGAAAGATGAAACAGTAAAACGGTAAGAGGTGCTGAAACATGACCCATTTCTTACAGCGGGTAGGAAAGAATAAAGCTGAATAAATGAATAAGGAAGTGAATATAAGTGATTCAGGGTAAAGTAGCAGAAAAACAGAGGGAATAAATATAGCTAAGGATGGAATTAAAGCCAAAGCTGGAGGAGAACGATGTAATACAAAGAGTGGGAGAAGACACGAATGAAAGAAGATCCATTCGTTCTTTCCTCAAATCCTTATTGATTGCTCACTGAGGCTAGGTACTCTTCTGGATCCCTCCTGTTTAGCAATGAACCAAACAAAACCCTTATTCTCGAAGCATTCCATCAAGGGGGATATAGTCAATATGAAAGATAAATGCTGATAAGCATGAAGGATAAAAATAAGGAGGAAAAAGAGTAAAAAGTGCTGGAGGTGGAGAATGAGAAGGGTTCTTATTTCAGGGAAGATGGCCATGGAAGTCTCAGTGAGGAAATAGCATTGGAGGAAAAACCTGAAGGAAATAAGCAAGCCATGCAAGGATCTAGCTGGGATTTTTCCAGGCAAAGAGCACAGAAAGTACATATCCCTAAGGCAGGTAAATATCTGCATAGGTGGAGAAGTCCAGTAGGGGGGGAAGGCGGGAGAGGGAGAGAATCTGAAGTATAAAAAGAATAGGAGAAATTGAGATCAGAGACAAGACTGGGCCTGAACATGTGAGGTTTCGTAGATCATTATGAGAGTTGGCCTTTCTCACTAAATTAGACAAGAAGCCATGGAAGGATATGAAACATATGAGTAACAATGTCAGTCTGGCTTCTGTATTCAAAACAGATTGAGGAAGACAGAGAAACTACCAAAAACCTGATAGTCCAGAAGGCAAAGATGAGGGTGGATTGGACCAAGGTAGTAGCAGCAAAGGTAGAAAAGAAGTGGCCAGATTCTGGATATATTTTGAAGGAATAGACAGTAAGATTTCCTGAAGGGGTCGGGGGGTAGAGCATGAGAGAACAAGAATAACCAAGGGTGAAACTAAGAATTTGGGTCTAGAAGAATGAGGTTAATATTTTCTGATATCATAAAATCTACAGAAGGAGCAGGTGTTGGGTAGATCAGGAGTTCAGTCCTGGACATGATGTTACATTTGATATTGAGTAAGTTTACTCTTAGTTTTTAGTTACTCTTACTTTTTATTGGGTTGCTAACAGAAATACCTGAGACTTAATGATTTATCAAGTATAGATTTGAGGACAGCAGTGGTATAGTGGTTAAGGTGCTGGACTCCCACATGGCTGACCATGGTTTGAGTCCTGGACCCAGTGACTTGAAATTCACACCAAGTAGCTTATGTGTATACCAAAATCACAAGAGGAGAATACAGGAGAAGGAATTGTGGAGTGGCCATCCCTCCTGAGGGGTGATTTCTCACTTTCTCTCCAGTGAACACATGCACCCTATAGCAAAAAAATCTCTTGAAAAAAAAAAGTATAGGTTTATTGGCTCATAACTCTGGTCATTGGAAAGTTTGAAGACATAGGCCTGGTATCAGGCTGACCTATGAGATGGCTGATAGAAGCACAGGAGATGGTGGGTGCATGAAGGGAGAGTGGGCTGCTGGCATCTCTCTTTTATAACAACAGCTCTCTTGAGCATCAATCCCTTCTCACTGGCACTAAGTCTCATGAGCCATCATTAATCTATTCATGAGAAGTTTGCTTCCATGATGCAATGACCTAGATCCAAGCATACCCCACTAAGACTCACCACCTCCCAACACCAAATTCAAAAGCATGGAACTTTGGAGGACACACCATGATCCAAACCGTAACAATCACCAAGGTAGCAAGTGTAAATAAAGAAGATTCAAGATCCTAGTTTAAAAAAGAAGGGGGTGAAGTTGGAAAAGAAGGAAATAAAAAGGCAAAACAAAAGTATGAGGGGTGGAAGGTAGGCAGAATGAATATGGAAACCGATGGACAGGAAGAGCAGTTACGTTGCAGGAAAATCATAGAAAAGACATCACTTTGCAATATCAACATAACCGAGGGGTTGATGGACATACAAGAAAAGAGGAAAGGTGAGGAGATGGAAAATTGAAATGAGAGACTAAGAATTAAAACAAAAAAATTTAGGTACAAGTGGCTAATAAGAAGACCAGAGAAAGTAGTATTAACATAAAACTAAAGAAGAAGGACAGAAAGGTATGGAAGACGGGTAGAAGATGATTCCCTTACCACAGTTTCTCTCTCACGAGTATATGTGCCCTATAGCAAATAATGATGATAATAATAATTTTAAAAATCCAATATTGAAGTTGTTTATGTACTCCTTATAATTCTCCTAAATATTGATAATCTTTTGTATTTTAAAAAGAGACTTTTGCTATAAAGTGCATGCACTCACAAGAGCTACAGAGCGAGAAAGTGAGAAATCACCCCCCCGCCCGGGACAATGGCTACACTGCTACACTGCAATTCCCTTTTCTCCTCCATTCTCCTCTCAGAATTTTGGGCATGAACACACATGCACCCAGTGTGAGTTTCAAGCTGGCAGGTCTGGGACTCAAACTGCACTCATTAATGATTTATCAAGTATAGATTTGAGGACAGCAGTGGTATAGTGGTTAAGGTGCTGGACTCCCACATGGCTGACCATGGTTTGAGTCCTGGACCCAGTGACTTGAAATTCACACCAAGTAGCTTATGTGTATACCAAAATCACAAGAGGAGAATACAGGAGAAGGAATTGTGGAGTGGCCATCTCTCCTGAGGGGTGATTTCTCACTTTCTCTCCAGTGAACACATGCACCCTATAGCAAAAAAATCTCTTGAAAAAAAAAAGTATAGGTTTATTGGCTCATAACTCTGGTCATTGGAAAGTTTGAAGACATAGGCCTGGTATCAGGCTGACCTATGAGATGGCTGATAGAAGCACAGGAGATGGTGGGTGCATGAAGGGAGAGTGGGCTGCTGGCATCTCTCTTTTATAACAACAGCTCTCTTGAGCATCAATCCCTTCTCACTGGCACTAAGTCTCATGAGCCATCATTAATCTATTCATGAGAAGTTTGCTTCCATGATGCAATGACCTAGATCCAAGCATACCGCACTAAGACTCACCACCTCCCAACACCAAATTCAAAAGCATGGAACTTTGGAGGACACACCATGATCCAAACCATAACAATCACCAAGGTAGCAAGTGTAAATAAAGAAGATTCAAGATCCTAGTTTAAAAAAGAAGGGGGTGAAGTTGGAAAAGAAGGAAATAAAAAGGCAAAACAAAAGTATGAGGGGTGGAAGGTAGGCAGAATGAATATGGAAACCGATGGACAGGAAGAGCAGTTACGTTGCAGGAAAATCATAGAAAAGACATCACTTTGCAATATCAACATAACCGAGGGGTTGATGGACATACAAGAAAAGAGGAAAGGTGAGGAGATGGAAAATTGAAATGAGAGACTAAGAATTAAAACAAAAAAATTTAGGTACAAGTGGCTAATAAGAAGACCAGAGAAAGTAGTATTAACATAAAACTAAAGAAGAAGGACAGAAAGGTATGGAAGACGGGTAGAAGATGGTTCCCTTACCACATCTGTTTTCTCCCAGAGAGAGGTACAGAAAAGAGAGAGATATTTCCAAAGATAATGTCTATGCTGGTGTTCCTTTTTGTCTGTATGCCTTCTATGTAGTTTAAGTTTAACTAACCAGGAAAAAAAAAATGTCCTCACTGGGAGGAAAGTTCAGAAAAGAGACAGTACACAGCATTACAAAGGAAGTACCGACCTATGCATGCTTTTTCCTGTTAGTCCACTCTGCTTGATTCAGTTCAGCTCACAAAATCATGACTCCCATTTCACCCCACCAGGACACTGCTACATCACTTCTGGGCCTACTTCTCAGTCTAAAGTCACAACTATTTCCCTCAGTCGACCCTGACTGCCATATGCCAGCTCTTTATCTTCTGAATTCCTGAGGAAAAAAGAGCTTAGTTCTTTAGATCTTCACTTATGATCAAGTTAGAGTCTACTTTGAGTGGGCACCAGGTATTTGCAATGGTGGTCCATCATGCTCTGGCTGTATTCATGGCATCTCCATAAACTGGTATCCTTCTGCCCTGACCAAACCTCAAGTCCACTGTGGTAAAGAACCCCAGTGCCCTCCCTAACTCTCATCTGTCCATAAGGAGTGCCCCCTACTCTTACTAATCCAGGTCATTTGTATGCAACAGTTTCTCATCATGCCCCAGGCCTCATGTTCCATAAATTCTCAGTTTCTCTAGAACATCTTCACCTTTCTTTACAGAGCTCTGTTCTAAATGGGTTTATAGCAATCTTGTTTATAGCTGTGACCAGTCAGTGGTAATTTCTCATCCTAGATCACCACATTCCCTTCTTCTGTTCATCTGTCTTGAGCTAGCTCACGAGAGCTTCGATTTCAC